CCACTGATGGATTTTGTATTTTTCTCTTTTTTGTTCTATTTACCTGTCTATAAGGCTAACAAAAATTCTGTTTGCCCCAACTACACCTCTTATAGTTCTACTTCTCCTATTAATGCAAAAATAAGTACTTAAAACCACCCTCTATCTACTTATCCATTCACTTATTTTTAGTCTTCTGAACATGTCCTTAATTACATCACCTTTCTTTTGCCCTTCCATTTTAACTTATGCTTTCCTTTCCTGATTTAAAAAAAAAAGTATTAACTGAATCAGTTGCTTTGTGTTCATCTGTTATGTTCCACTATAACATCTAAGGTCTAAAACACTGATCTGTCTACATTAATTATGAGAACATTTTAAATCATTAAGGATATTGCTGCATCTGATTAAGAAATAAGTTAAAAAATTATAGTATACAAGGAAGATTGTATTGTTACCTAAAACAAATTTATAAAGAATACAAACCAATTCCTAAATGTAAAATTCCCGAGAGACTGATGAGGACTGAACTTTGAAGGATGGTATGTCAATGGGCACTGCCTAATATTTTAACAATTCAGAAAACAATGCCAAAGGTAAAAATCAAAATTTGGTAAAAGCACAAATTTAAATCTATTCCTTCTAAAGGCCAAAAATTATACCATAATGATATATATTTTTTTTTTGGTGTATTTTTTAAACTCTTTATTTGTACTTTTATTTGTATGAATAGCAGTGAAACACTGTCTGACATATTAATGGAAATTTTTATGAATAGCCATGAAACACTGTCTGATACAGTGCTAGAAGATAAACCCCTCAGTTTGCAAGGCACTCAAAACACAATTAGGAAAAAGGTGCCTCCTCCAAGTAGAGCTGACATTTCGATGTGGATGGAGGAAACCTTTCAGGACCTTCCTTCATTTGTTGATGGGGCATGACTCAAAATGGGAAGAAACTGCTGTAAACATTCATTAATAATTGGGACGTGGATGTATAAAGTATGAATCTAGGAAAATGAGAAGTTGTCAAAAATGAAATGGAATACATAAGATCCTAGACATTAGTGAGCTGAAATGGACTGGTATCAGCCATTGTGAATCAGACAATCATACTGTATACTATGCTGGGAATGACAAATGAAAGATGAATGGTGTCACATTCCTCCTGGAAAAGAACATTTCAAGAGCTACCCTGAAGTACAGTGCTGTCAATGATATAATAATATCCACATGCCTACAGCCAGTTAATACTATTATTTAAATTTATGCTCCAACCACTAAAGTCAAAGAAATTGAAGATTTTTACCAACTTCTACAGTCTGAAACTTACCAAACTTACAATGAAGATATGTTGGTAATTATTGGTGACTGGAAGGCAAAAGTTGGAAAACAAAGAAGAATCACCAGTAGTTGGAAAATATGGGCTTGGTGATAGAAATGACGCCAGAGATCATATGACAGAATTTTGCAAGACCAATGACTTACTCATTGCAAATATGCAAATATATTTTTTCAACAACATAAATAGTGGCTATACACATGGACCTTGCCAGATAGAATCCACGGGAGTAGATCGACTACATCTGTGGAAAGAGGTGAGGGAGAAGCTCTGTATCTTCACTCAAAACAAGGCCAGGAGCTGACTGTGGAACAGACCATCAACTGCTCATAGACAAGTTGAAGTTGAAGCTGAAGAAAATTAAAACACATCCATGAGAGCCAAAACATGACTTTGATTATATCCCACCTGAACTTAGAGACCAGCTGAAGAACAGATTTGTCACACTGAACACCAATGACCAAAGAGCAGATGAGTTGTGGGATGACATCAAGAACATCATACATGAAGAAAGCAAATCATCATTAAAAAGAAAAGATCAAGGAAAAAAAGATAAAAATGGATGCCAGAAGAGACTCTGAAACTTGCTCATGAATGGAAAGTAGCTAAACAATGGAAGAAACACTGAATAAAAGAACTGAACAGATTTCAAAGGGCAGCTCAAGAAGACAAAGTAAAGTATTATGATGAAATATGCAAAGACCCAGAGTTAGAAAACCAAAAGGTAAGAACATGCTCGGCATTCTTGAATTGCAATATTGCAGTATCGAAGGATTGTGCGGGCAAAATATTGAATGATGCAGGAAGCCTCAAAAGAAGATGGAAGGAATACACAGAGTCACTGTACCAACCAAAAAGAATCAGTTGATGTTCAAAGATTTCAGGTAGTAGCATACGATCAAGAACCAATGGTACTGAAGGAAGAAGTCGAAGCTGCACTGAAGGAACTGGTGAAAAACAAGGCTCCAGATGTTTTGAAACATCCATTGAGATGTTTCAATGAACAGATGCAGTGCTGGAGGCACTTACTCATTTATGCCAAGTAATGTGAAAGACAGCTAAGTGGCCAACCCACTGGAAGAGATCCTGTCTGTGCCCATTCCAAAGAAAGGTGAGCCAAAAGAATGAGGAAATTATTGAATGATATCATTAATATTACATGCAAGTAAAATTCAAGATCAGTTGCAGCAGTATATTGACAAATATATATATATATATGGCAGTACATATTCCAGAAATTCAAGCTGGACTCAGAAGAGGACATGGAATGAGGGATATCATGGCTGATGTCATATGGATCTTGGCTGAAAGCAAAGAATACCAGAAAGACGTTTACCTGTGTTTTAGTGACTATGCAAAGGCTTTCAACTGTGAATCATAACAAATTATGGATAACATTGAAAAGAATGGGAATTCCATAATACTTCATTGTGCTCATGAGGAAATGTGTACATAGTCCAAAAGGTTGTCACTTGAATAGAACAGAAGGATACTGAATGAGTGAAAAGTACGAAGGGTTGTATCCTTTCACCATACTTATTCACTCTGTATGCTGAGCAAATAACCCAAGAAGCTGGACTATATGAAGAGGAACTTGGCATCAGGATTGGAGGAAGGCTCATCA